CGGAATCATGTTCCCAGACCGCCTTCCGGGAACATGATGGGGACGACCTCCTGAGGGCCTCCAGTGGGCCTCTTGGGGGCCTCTCGGAGGCCTGTTGGGCTCTCCTGGAGGCGCCTTGGGGCGCGCTCAGGACCATTTTTGGGCATCTTGGGGGCCTCTGGGGGCCTCCGGGGAGGCTCTTGGGGGCTTCTTTGGGGCCTCTTGGGGCCTCGCGGGGCCCTCTTGGGGACTGCTGGGCTCGCTTAGGCAGTCTTGAAGCCCTGTCGGGGCTCTCCTGGAACCGTCTTGGGCGGCTCCTGGGCCATCTTGGGGCTCTCCTGGGCCGTCTTGGGGCGATTTTGGAGGTCTCTTGGGCCGTCTTGGGGCGGTCTTGGGGGGCTCTTCGGCCGTCTTGGAGCAGTTTTGGGAGACTCTTGGACGGTCTTGGAGCGTCGGAACCCCGAAAAAGCGAGAAGGCCCAAAACCTCTTAAAAAAAACAATAAAAATCAACGATTTTGGCTTGTCGGGGCTCTCTTGGGAGGCCTCTTGGGATGCCTTCGGGGCCTCATGGAGCTCTCTTGGAACGTCTCCGGGCCTTCCTGGCCATTCCTGAGGCCATCTATGCGCGTCTTGGAGCGCTCGCAGGCCGTCTTGGGCGGTCTCGAACTGTTCCTGGCGGTCCCAGGGGCCCTCCGGGACGCTTCGGACGCTCCCGGGGGCGCCCTGCACCCCCCATGGAGATTACAGGCACCGCCCCGGGCCGCCCCAGGGCCCTACTCCGATACATATATATATATATATATATATATAGATATGTGTATATATATGATATATACATATATATATATATATATATATATATATATATATGTTACATACTTGCCCCGGGCCCCTCTCTTCCAACGAGGCCGAGAGGCAGGGGAGGTGCCAGGACCACTTCCGCGGGGTCCACAGTGGCACTGCCAGGCGCTGCCCCTCGCCGCGCCCCTGGAGGCGCCAAGCATCCGCGCGTCGGCAGATGCCGTCGGCGCGGCGGCCTGGCGCCTGGGCCGCAGCGGGGGTGTCGGATTTTTGTTTTGTATTTTTTTCTCTCCTCGCAAACAACCCACATGCGTGTAGCTCGCCTGCGGAGCTTCTCGATGCAGGTGGCCCTCTGCTCCACGAGCTGCTGGCCCTCTGCCAGGACTCCGTGGACCGCGAGCCGCTGGCCCTCGCAGAGGACCGGCGGACGCACGCCAAGCGTCACAAGCGCAGGGGCCCGCTCGAAGACTGTGACGAGTCCAGAGTCATCGTGCTCGTGGATCACGCCGCGAAGGCCCTTCAGCAGATGCTTGGCGACATGCTGGACGAGCACTACCACCAGAACGTGCCACAAGCGCAACGCGGAATCGTCGCAAGCAAGGGCACCGACTACGCCGCCCACCTCGTGCACTGCTTTAAGGCGTGCTGCTCGGCGCATCACCTCGCATGCTTCGTGTGGTTCGTCGACCTGGTGAAGACGCTCGACAGGGCCATCCGCGAGATTGTATCGGGGTGGTCGGCTGGCATCGATGATCTCGATAATCACCTGCAATCCCTTGGCTTGAACAAGGAGCAGGCAAGATGAATCGCGACATGGGTGTCGAGGCACGGATGCTTGCTCGCTCAATGGGGGGTCTGCCCCCAAATCATACGGTTCCTCAAGAACACCCTGCGGGGATGTGGACACCGCCGTGTCCTCGCTCATTGGCGGCCGCCAAGGCTGCAAATTCGGTTCCGTGATCTTCAATCGCACCTTCTCGCTGGCCATGGTACTTATCTGGGACGCGCTCCTGGAGCATGGCGCCGTGCTGCGCCTTCGCCCTGCGGATGTCGCTTTCTGGGCCGACCGCCACGAGGCCGAGTCCGAAGAGAACGGTGAGAGCGGCGGCGCTCTGGTGGTCGACGCCGCCCTCGTCGACGACGAGTGCTTCCTTCTGCTCGGCTGCAACGTCGCGGATCCCGAGAAGGCCATCGAGAACATGATCCAGGCCGTCTGCGAGATGCATGGCCGCCTCACCCCCCCCGTCGATTGGAAGGCTGGCAAGTCTGAGTGAGTCTTGGTCTACCCGGGGACCCTCCGCCACGAGGTGTCTCCAGCGTCGGCGCGTGCTCGCCAGTGGCGGCCTTGCTGTCGCAGTCCGCGCCTTGGACGTGATGCTGCAGGTGGTTAACTACTTTAATAGTAGAAACAATTGGTTTTCAAAATGTGTGGTCTTTAGAAGCTCTGCGTGGCGACGCCCCCGTCGCCACGCGTGCCCTCTGCGTGCCTGCGGGGGCGCCGCTACGTAGAAGTACTGGAGACCGAGCATTTGGGGCGTCGCTACGCACGCCCTCTGCGTGGCTGCGACCATTTGTTAAAACCCTAAAACCAATTAAATTCACTAATATAGTACGCAATCCCGCCACATGGCAGGCAGTGTCAGCGCGGACGGGAGCCTCGGCGCAGCCGCCCACCTCCGCGCACAGGCAGCCAAAGCGTACGAGCCGATCGCGTGCAGGGTGTTCGGATCCTGTGTGAGCGCGACAAGAAGTCCCGATTCACGCAGCCGCTCATTCAGAGCAGGTTGCTGTGCAGCGCCCACGTGGTCGGGCCCGCGCGCCACTTCCTGATCGTCCTGAACGGCGTCCACATGAGAATGCTGCGCCGCGTGGATGGCTCGCCGCGGCACGGGCCAACAAACCCAGACCGTGCGCCATGCAGTCCGGGCCCGTCTCAAGCAACCCAGCATCGATTGCTTGGTGATGCGCGGGCGCCTGCGCTATTTCGGCAGACTGGTGCGCTCGGCCCCCGCTGCTTTGACCGCCCTGCTGGCTGCCCACCGCACGGGTGCTCCGCTTCCGTGGGTCGCCCTGCTGCTTGGCGACTTGCGCAAGCTCCGGGAACGTGTCGCTCTGTGCGCCCCTCTGGGCGATCCAGCGGCGGTGTGGAGCGAGTGGCGCGCTTTCGTATTGGAGTCTCCCACCAGATGGAGCTCTGCCGTCAGCACGCTTTGTTTCGTCGATTCATGCTGCGAACTCTCTGTCCCGCGCGTGAACAGAAGTGGCGACACTCGGCCGATTTCCGTGCCCTCGATGCGAATCCAATTTTTCATCTGCGCGTGCTCGGGATCAGCACTTGCGCATGGAGCACGGAGTGCAGTGCTTCTAGCGCTGTTGTCTCTGCGGATGCTACGAGCATGGCGTGCGGCACTCGTTTTGGAAGCCAACTGCGCCTGCTCAACCACCTCTGCGATTCGAGACCCAAGCAATGTTTGGATCGCATTCGTCTCAACCCGGCTCCTTTCCCTTCCCCCCCTTTGCCTGGGAGCTGGAGGCCTTGGACAGCGCTGAGGAGGATCAACGTCGAACTGCACAACGCCTCGGCCACGCGCACGCCCTGGCTTGGGGCCCTGCTTACCGTGCAAACGGCGCGGTCGCTGGGCGCGCACGTATGTAGCCATCCACTGTGGTGTAATCTGCATAAGATGTTTCGCGCAGGCCTCGATGAACACATCAAATAAAGGAATACCTGCATAAGCAAGTAAGTTCAATTGTATGTGTATGTACGTATGTATGTATAAACACACACATTAAACACAGCGCATGTGAGCGTTTTTGGTTCGGCGTTTCGACATTGGGAGGAAGGCGGGGAGGGGGGGGGTCTGTCTCTGGACCTCTGCTTAGTGCGACTGTTTGCAGCAGTGCGTCCATTATGTGGGAGGCTCCACCTGCTCGAAACAGGCGCCCCAAACAGCGAAAATCTACTCCGGGGGGGGGGAGGGGGGGGTTGGGGGGCCCGCACCGATCGGCAAACCAGTGAATAAGAAAACGATCACCACATGGGAAGGGATGGGTGGGAGGGTAGGACGTCAGACGCAGCGCGAGCGCACCCAGCTTGCGCCCCCTCCCGCCTCTGCTCCCCGCCCGCCCCCCGGGCGGACTCCTGGGGCCCTTGGACGCCACCTTGCGGAGAGCCCGCCAACCGCGGCTCATCTGCGACCCCAGCCATCGAGGATCGTCCACGTATTTTTCATTCGGCGTTTCGCCTGGCTCCAGACCTCCACTTAGTGCGGCTGTTTGCAAGAGTGCAGCCTCTGGGGGGGACCCCACCCGCTCGAAACAGGCTCCAAACAACGGGGGGGGATGGGGGGGGGCTTGGGGGCTCGCGCCGATCGGCAAAACAACGGGTAAAAAAACGACCACCATCTGAGACCCCAGCCATCGAGGATCGGTGTCAAGAACAATCTGTTCTGTGGGAGGCGTTTTGACACTCTGTGGGCCCCTGGAGGCCGCCGGGGACCTCCTCGCGGAGACTTCCAGTGATCTCCGCACGCCTCTAAAAGAGGCATCCACGACGCGTCGTCGTCGCACCTTTCGCCCTCGCCCTCCGCATCTTCCCCGTTCCCCCTCCCCTTTCGCTCCGCCTTCCCTCAACATCTCCCTCTCTCTATACATCTATGTATGTGCTCTTTATGGATCTGCTCGATCTGGTGCCGATTGACGGGGGGAATTCAGAGGGCCAAATCCCCGACAAGACCAACTCGCGACATCCCTCGTGACGGGCCGAACCCGGCAGCGACTGACCAGCACGGTGCAAGCGGCACGAAGGGGCAACGCAAACGGTGTAGTGCACACGATCACCGCACACTCTGAGACTGGGGAGCGTTTGAGGGCATCAACCAACCACCAGAAACAGACGAAGCACTCGTGAACACAGTGCGAGACCTCCGCACACCATCCTCGATCTTCCTGCCCTGGCCTCATCCTCCTCCTTCCCCCCGCATCCCTCTACGATGTTCATCATCTTCCACATTCCCGCTCCTACATCCCTCATTTTTGTCCCTCCCTCTTCCTTTCCTCCTCACCACTATTCCGCCATCTTCATCCTCCTCCCTCGGACTCCTCCCTCCTACCCCTGCCATCCGTCTTCTTCGTCTTCGTCTTATTCTCCTCCTCCTCCTCCTCCTCCTCCTCCTACTACTACTCCCTGAGAGAGCCCAGAAGGCTACGCACACGATGCCTCGCGCTCCGCCGCGGTGGCCACGTGGATCCAGGCGAGCATGTCGCTGACGTAGCGCACCGGATCGCAGGCCTGGGGGAGTGGCTGTACGCCCGCCCCACGGATCCGGGGCCAGGGGATGATTCACTGCCTGATTCAGACGGCGTCCTCCTCCTCCTCCTCGTCTTCCTCGTCCTCCTCCTCCTCCTCCTCCTCCTCGTCTTCCTCCTCCTCCTCCTCCTCCTCGTCTTCCTCGTCCTCCTCCTCCCCCTCCTCTGTGATGCGTGGCTGGGCGTTGCCGCTTAGAGGAGAGCAGAGAACTGGAGGGCAGAGCGTGGTCGTGAATGTCACCGTCGTCCACCTCCATCTTCTCCTCCTCCTCCTCGGCCGTTCCTGCGATATGCCCCTCCTCTTTCTTCCTACTCCTCATCGTTTCTTTCCCTCGCACCCCGCTGGCAGTCCTCGGGCCCTTGCGGGCCCTCCCGGTCGAACCTGGGAGAACATTACAGTGGAGGCCCCACCACAAGAAACCTTCCACAAGAAAACCAACCCTGAGACCCCAGGACGTCCACTGTCGAGAACCAGGAAGCTCAATGCGGAAGAACAGAGCGGGAGGAAGGATATCGAGCTCAAGCCCAAGGGCGGAGGCGGCGGGGGGGAGGAGGAAAGGAAGCGGATGATAATACGATCGAGCGGCCAACGCTGAGCAACGCCTGAGCCCACTGCCACTGCCCGCCGCCCTCACAAGTGCCAATACAATAGGGGCCTGACCACAAAACATCTTCCACAAAAAACCCAACCCTGAGACCCCAGGGCGTCCCCTGATTCTTGGTGTGGAATCATCGAAACCCAAGAGAGCCAGGGCACCCTGGAGGCAAGCAGGGTCTTCCCTGGCATGGGCCTCCACCGTACCAGTTCTGTGGCTGACAGCATCGTCGTCGACCTCGCCTCCCACATCGCCCTGGGCAGCGCCAGAGCCCTGCTGCCACTGCCCGCCCTCTCTACACGTGCGGATCCCGGCGCTGATCCAACCCAGGGAGAGACCTCCCACATCTCGCTCAACAGCGCCCGAGCCAGCTGCCACTGCTCGCCATCGCACGCGCTGCAACTGGCGCTGCAGATGATGTTCGGCTTCAACTTCGCCGCCAACATTTCCCTGAACAGCGTCGGGGCCCATATCCCAACTGCGTAGGTGACGGTAGCGGATTTCGCCTCCCTCGTCTCGCTGAGCGCTGCCACTGACAACCCGTCCCACACGCGTTGACCCCGGCGCTGTAGTCGATGCCATCGGGCCTCACTTTGGCCTCCCACACTTCGATGAGCAGCTCCAATGCTACTGATTACCCTTCTCGCATGCACTGCCTACAGCGCTGTAGCACACATGACATTCGGTTCCAAGTTTGCCTCCCACATGTCGCCGACAACGCCGAGCCGCGGTGCCACACGTGGGCGAGACCCCCGGGCGGATGGGGGATTGCACGCAGTCGAAGGCGTCCAAGAGGGGGGCGTAGGACAGGGGGGGCGCAAATCATGGCCGGCGGCACGTGCGCAGCCCCGGGGGGGGGCCCTGGGACGTATTGAAATAAGAAGAGGCGCCATGACATCTGGGGATATACAGTTCGAGCAAAAATGTTTGGAAATAGAATTCGCGCCCGCGTGGGGGCCACGTTCTTCGCGGCGTCGCCATTCGGGTTGCGGTGGTACTGGATGCCTTGCGCGAAAGCGCGATGTCCAGATTTAGTCCAATGCGTGCGGCCGTTTCGGCTCCATTGCTGCGCGTGGCCTTGCGTTGCATCGCGTGTGGTCGCATAGCAGTGCTTCGCCTTACTTACGCGCGCGCACATACCACCGCGCACGCACGCACGCGCGCCACCAACCATTCCGCACGCGCGCACACACACACACCACACACACACACCACACCACACACACACAACACACACACCCACACCACACCCACACCACACCCACACCACACCCAAACCCACACACACACCCACACCCACACCCACACCCACACCCACACCCACACCCACACCCACACCCACACCCACACCCACACGCACGCACGCACGCACGCGCGCACGCGCGCACGCGCACGCGCACGCGCACGCGCACGCGCACGCGCACGCGCACGCGCACGCCACACACACACACTCACACTCACACTCACACTCACACTCACACTCGCACTCACACTCACACTCACACTCACACTCACACTCACACTCACACTCACACTCACACTCACACTCACACTCTCACACACACACACGCACACACACATACACACGCCGCCGCCACCACCACCGCGCACGCCACCGCCACACGTACATCCTGCCTCGCGCGACAGAAGAGTGCCGTCGTGACATGATACGCGCTAGCCGCGGCACTTTGACACCCCTTGAAACGGGCGAATGCGTTCGGCGCCGAGGGTTTCGTTTTCGTGGCAAACTGAGGCCATGTGAGTCGGACGGATGTGCTCGGCGCCAAGGGTTTCGAGGGTTTGTAAGACCCTGTGAGTCGCGCGGATGCGTTCGGCGCCGTGTGTCTCCTGGCATTGTGAGACCATTTGAAATGCGCGAGTGCGTTCGGCTCCGAAGGTTTCGTGGCACCGTAGCACCGTAAGGCCATGTGGGTCTTGCGAATGTGCTCGGCGCCGAGGGTTTCGGGGCATTGTGAGACCCTTTGAAACGCGCGAACGCATTCGGCGCTGAGGGCTTCGTGGCACTGTGAGGCCACGTGAGTCGCGTAGATGAGCTCGGCGCCAAAGGTTTCCCGGCATTGTGAGATCCTTTGAAACGCGCGAATGCGTTCGGCACCGAGGGTTTCGTGGCACTGTGAGACCATGTGAGACTCGCGGAAGGGCTCGGCGCCGAAGGCTTCGGGGCGATTTGAAAGCCTTGAAAACGCGCGACTGCGTTCGGCGCTGGAAATTCTGTGGCACTGTGAGAACATGTGAGACTCGCAAATGTGCTTAGCGCCGAAAATTTTGGGGCGATTTGGAACCCTTTGAGACGTGCGACTGCGTTCGGCGCCGAGGGTTTCGTGGCACTTTGAGACCGTGTGGGACTGGCGGATGTGCTCGGCGCCGAGGGTTTCGGGTCACCTTGAGACCCTATGAGACTGTTTGAAACTGCTTTGAGACAGCCATCGGACGCGTCCAGTGTGTGAATGTATACCATGTCGTGCAAATTTTGAGACTCATCTGACTCCCAGTTCTTATCATACTAAATTCGGAGTCGGACGGTCTCAAGGCGGTTCGAGCGCGGACGGGGCCGCCGCCGAGCGGATGGGGCGCCGCCCAGGCGCGATCCAAGCGGTGCAGAATTTTAGTCAACCTTTTGGCCCACGTCGGCTCGACATGCGTACAGCGCCAGATGTGACTGATGTGAGTTGCCGTTGATATGATGTGTGCTCAAATGCTTCCATGCGAAAAGTCGAGCATTTCGTTTCCAACTTTTTCTGTGACTGTATCATGGCCCCCGCCATGATATTCACACACCCCTAGTCGTAAGTCGGGCATGTCCTCCTGCAGGGGGATTCTGAAAGAAAGATCGAACATAGCCAAACAAAATCCTCGAAGTAGCCAAAAGTATCGAACAATCTTCCCCGTACTATTTTTTGATTATTTTTGAATTACGCCAAGGAAAAAGCACAATCAGTGGATGGTTTGACATGGGATCGATAAAAAGATCGATAAGAAAATCGATCGGGAATCCGGGAACCGGAGAACCCGGAACCCACCGAAATCGGCCCGGAACCAATAACCAGGAACCAGGGAACCCTGAACCGGGACCCCGGGAACCCAACCGGCCACCAAAATCGGCGGGGAACTGTCGCCAAATCTTTCAGCTTCCGCTAGGACCCCTTCAGTGCAAGCACTGACTGGGAATACTCCTCCTCAGAGGGACAGGCCCGACCCCAGGGGCCACGACCCCAGGGGAGTATTCCTCCTGTGGAGGTTACCAGCCTCGAACGTATCCCTATCCCTGAGATTGACACGCCAAAAGGCGATGACAATCTTAGGGATTCGCCCTCAAAAAATAAGGGAATCCATAAGATTGGCATCGTGATGAGGAGGTGCCCAGCATAGGGATAGGGATATGTTCCAGGCTGGTAAGGAGGGGATTGCCGCCCCCGACCCGGGGGCCGTGTGCCGAGATGCCAGGCGAAAGCGCGTGCGCGCAGCGCCCTCGACGTCCCCCGCAGCGCTCCCCGGGGCAGAAAGCCGCGGCTGCCGACCTGAGGGCAGAGGCCTCCCAGACGGGGTCGGAGGATCGCGCCGTATCGCCGGTACATCGCGATGCATCGGCGATGCACCGGCGATGCATCGTCGACGTCGGCGATGCATAGGCGACGTCGAAGTGAAGCAAATCGGGCCCTACATCGAACCGCATCGGCGATGCATCGGCGATGCGGCGCGATCCTCCGACCCCATCTGCTCCGACCCCATCTGGGAGGCCTAGAGAGGGCGCGGTGCCTCTGCGCCATGGCAAGCATGTGCTTCGGATTGCCCGGGAACTACGAATGTCCAAGCCGCTCAAATGGGCGATTTCGGAAACTCTGCACCCAAAACCGTGTTCGTCTCTTGGGGTCGAGATTTTTACTTCCGCCGCCTTTCGCCGGCCTGCCGCGGGCTTCCGCCGGCGGAGGCGGCCTCGTTTTACTTCCGCCGACCTTTCGCCGCGGAAGAGATGACAACTCCTTAAACCCTCGAAAGCACGGCCCTTTTTGGAACGCCCCACATGGGACTGGGGCAGATTGTCCAGACCGCTCAAAAGTCGATGATCCTCAGGGCGTGTTAGCGCCAACGCGTCTTTGTTCATCGAAGCCTTTCCGTACGACGCAGCCGATGTAATGCTCTACCGGCTGGGCTAGACAGGATAAACACACATTGGGCAAACACACGTCCTGAGGATCATCGAACATGGGACTGGGGCAGATGGGGTCGGACGGTCGCAGCGGATCGCCGATGCAACGGCCATGCTGCGCAACCTGGAGCCAAAATGTCTCTGGTCCGACTTCGCAGCTGGACTCCTCCGACCCCGTCTCCTCTGCCCCAAGTGGGTAGGCTTCCAGACTAAGAGTGCAAGGGGCACTGATACTCGGTGTCCACGTCAGAAAGGAAGCGCCGTGGCGAAGGGAGAGCATCAATCGAGACTATATGCGTCACCATGGCCCCGTTGAGGCGTAGTAGAATGCCAAAGGCTGTCTGAGAGATCTCCTGCTACCTCCCAATGAACGACCTTTTCCTCCTTTTCTTGACGCATCCAGTTGCATGCATCTCCCCTCCCCACCCACCATGGGGGTGATATCTACGACTATGTGGTGTGAGCTGCTTCCTCGCGCGGTGACGTCTTTTCGTGCCGCAACTCACGCCGTGTCAAATTGCATACACGGATGTTGCGCCCGCGGGCAACTATATCGTCATTGACCATATTGCGAACCACTGCTGCACATACCGCTGTGATAATCCCACCAGCACTTTGGGCGACAGGTGGTCTAACGACATTATTTCTTTCCTCTTCCAAAACCCCCTTCCCCTTCGGGGAGGGGTTTATCACTGTTCCCTATTAGTATACACCCCCTCCCCCAGGCGACTGGGAGCCAACCCGAGACCATGCGCCCCCCCCCCACCATCGCTTGTAAAAAACATAATCCAAAACACACTATGCCTCCTAATTCGGAGCATGCGCAGCGAACCCGATGCGGCCTCCCCCCACCATCCCTGTCAAAAAACAATACAAAGTATGCTTGTCGGCGGCGGCGGCGGCGGCTGTGGCGGCTGCGGCGGCGGCGGCGGCTGCGGCGGCTGCGGCGGTGGCGGCGGCGGTGGCGGCGGCGGCGGCGGCGCGGCGGCGGCGGCGGAGGCGGCGGATTCGCCCCCAGTAGCTGCCCATCCAAAGACGACCGCGGAATATGCTGCGGCTCGGGCCAGGCTCGGGTGCTACGTATGTGTTGGGAGGGCGGGTGGGGGTGAGCGAGACGGCTTACGGGCGGGGAGGGTGTCTTGACTCCTCCCCCCACCCCCTCCCCTGGACCTGGACGGGGGGGGTCGCGAGCAGCTGGAGCGCCCGAGATGGCCAAGATGGCTCCAAGAGGGCCTCAGAGAGCCCAAGATGGCCTCCAAGATCGCTCAATATAGCCCAACATGGTTCAAGACAGCTTCCAACATGCCTTCAAGAGGCCCCACTAGGGACTAGGGCCACCATACGGATCCAAGTGTTTTTTGGAAACCCTTCAGGACCTCCCCGACAAGCCAACATCCTTCAAACACCTAAGGAAAATCACAGATGCTTGCATTCTCGCCTTTTCGCTTCCGATGCGCTTTTGAAGCCTCAAGATGGCCCCAAGATGGCCCAAGAGAGCTCCAAGAAGGGCCCAAGAGGCCTACAAGACGGCCCCAAGAGCGCCCAAGATCGCCCCCAGAGGGCCCCAAGAGCGCCCCGAGAGGCGGTTTGGAGGGCTCTTAGGGGGGGACCTCGATCACTCCCCCCTGTTGATCGAAGGCCTACAAGATGGCCACAAGAGGCTTTCCGAAGCTCCCAGGGGAGCCCCAAGAGAGCGCCAAGAGGGTCCCATGAGGGCCCCAAGATGCCCCCGAGCGGCCTCAGAGAGCCCAAGATGACCTCCAAGACGGCTCAGATAACCAAAGCTGGCTCAAGATGGCGATCAAGATGGTCCGAACGGCCCCAAGACCGCTCCAAGAGCGCCCGAGAGCGCTCGGAGAGAGCCCCAAGAAGCGGTTTGTGGGCTCCTGAA